ATTTATAATTTGTTTTCCTGACGTCAACGTATCTTGCGCATCCAGGTGACCAGTCAATATATCCATTGGTCGCATGTTTGTTATTGAATGGATAAAATTGTATCCGAGAAGTGCTTATGGCGCATTTGTTCTTTAACACTTAAAGGGAGTGTGTGCCAAAAAAACAACGTCATCTCGAAAAAAAGAGAAAAAAAATCTAAGAATAATAGTGAAATCCGCACCCCTCTATGCTAGAAGTTACCGCATCTCACCCTATGACGTCACGAAAGCTCAAGCGACGCACGAGAAAGTGGAGTTAATTAAATTTACATATATTTTTCCTGTGTTACCTGCAATAATCTAAACAAAAACCACTCACGCGTGACGGAAACAATCAAATTAACAATGCGGAGCACGGCTGGACGAAGTTCTCGTGACGTCACGAAAGCGTCGTCCACACTTTAAAGCGGTATATCTCAGCGATGGTTTATCGTAGAATAACGAGGTTTGAACAGTTATTCTTAGATTTTTTTACACTAAAACTTTAATTTTTGGCGCACACCCCCTTTAAGAATTTTTTATTTTCTCGAAGTATCCTCAGATGTTCGATAATGGTAGACTGGAATCTTTCTATCATCCTGTTGGATTGTGGGTTATCAGGGGGGTCAACGTCAATTCGTCGTAAATCAATATGTCGTACGTCAATTCGTCGTACGCCAATTCGGCGTAAAGTCAATTCGTCGTATATGTCGATTCGTCGTGAAGTCGTCGTACTCGTCAATTCGTCGTAAAGTCATTTCGTCGTATACTTCAATTCGTCGTATACGTCAATTCGTCGTATTTCAGGTATTATGTTAAAATATTGAAATCTATAAATTTACACTGTCTAGTTATTTCAGACATTACCAAACTTACCGATAATAACCCCGTTAGTTTGCAATTTTAAACAGATATTACATTACAAACTAACCGGGTTATTGTCGGTAAGTTTGATAATGTCTGATCAAAATTGCAAACTATTAATAAGGGCCATATTCCCCGTAGTTCATAAAACCTGGCTTAGTAAAAAAGCTCGGCTTTGTCACACAAAAAGCCAAGCGTTTCCACTAAGCCAGGCTTTATGAACTACGGAGAATATGGCCGTAACACGTTAATTCGTCGTATACGTCAATTTGTGGTATTGTTAATTCGTCGTATTTCAGGTACGATGTTAAAATGCATAAATTTGCACTTTTACTGTTTAATCAGACATTATCAAACTTACCGATAATAACGAAGAATTACCTATATTGTCATATACGTTACTTTACGACAATTCGGTAAGCTTGATAATGTCTGATTGAATAGGAAAAGTGCAAATTTATACATTTTAACATTATTCATGAAATAGAACGAATTAACGCTACGACGAATTAACGCTACGACGAATTGACGTATACGACGAATCGACTTTACGATGAATTGACGTGTACGACAAATTGACTTTACGACGAGTTGACGTTTACGGCGAATTGTCTTTACGGTGAATTGTCTTTACGGCGAATTGACGTATACGACGAATTGCCTTTACGACGAATTGACGTACGACGAATTGACTTACGACGAATTGACATAGACCCTATCAGGGGTAGTATAATGGATAGATATCTTATGTGTATCTACAAATTCCTGTCCATTCTTAAATTATGTTACACTATGTGACTATGTGACTATTATGTGTGGTATTCCATGATGAACTATGAAGACTAGGAGGGCATTAGGAACATTCGCTGAATTTGATCCCTCTATGGGGTAGGGCTTGTCTATATTTTGAGAAGGAATCAATAATTGTTAAAAACTTTTGCCCTCCGGCTTGAAAGGTATATAGATAAATAATTTCCAAAGGTTTAATCGGTGTTAGAGAGATCATGAATTAAGGTTTGGCTGGATTCTTATTATATTTGTTTGACTGACAGGTATCGCAAACATGTATGATATTTTCAATCTCTCGTTTGAGGTGATATTTCCTTCGGATTTGCACTGGTAGGCCTGTATTTTTTCACTTTGTCTTTCTTTGCTATTGACGTCTTCTTAGAGACAGTTGCATTTGATAAAGTCGAATACAACATTTTTAAAAGTTTCTTTAAGTATGTTGCATAGAGGAACATAAAGATCTTCGTCCTTAACAAATATTGCATATTGCATACTTCTTTTTGTGGTCTATTTTTTCTTTAAGAAGCTTTATATTGCTTCCTTCTAAGTTATTATTGCTTACGTTATGTGCTGCCCTATAATTTTGCCACGTTCTTAACAAATATTATCAATTCATGTCTGCTTGATAATACTTTTCCGACAACTTGGAAGATTGCAAAGGTCAAACCCATACCAAAAAAACACAACGTTCAAGAATACAATGAACTGTGTCCCATTAGTATACTTCCATATTTATCTAAAGTCCTAGAAAAGGTGATGGACAAGCAAATGCAAATACGTGGACACCTCGAAAAATTTGAAATTCTGCCGCCACACCCACCAATCAGGCTACAGTTGTACCACTGGTCTCGCACATGTAACAAATGATATTTTCCAGCAAACAGACACTGGCAAAACTCAAAACCACAGCACTAATACTTTTGGACTATTGGAAGGCTTACAACACGGGGAACCATCAATTATTCTTAGCAATACTCCACTTCATAGGTTTCTCAAGTGATTCGATATTATTATTAGATATTATGATCTCTCTTTTTCTCACTTTGCATAAAATGATGTTTCTGAGATGACGGGCACTTGCAGGTTTTAAAGATAACAGACTTTTGTATGTTTGTTTGTGTGAATGTTAGGGTTGAGATCGAGTTGCTCGAGATGTGCATTAAATATCTGTGGGGTGATGCCTGTGGTTGAGATGATGAATGGTATGATTGTAATTTTTTTCTGTTTCCAGAGACTCTGGACTCATTATATTTGGTTTGAATATTGGAGTCATTTGGTATGGATATGCCTATAAGATAGGTTATTTGTTCTTTTGGAAAACGATCTCTGATCTATTGCATGTTATTGTTTTATCAGTGCGGATTTCTATGTCCCAATACAGTTTGTATTCGTTCGTATCTATGATCGTGGCTGGGGAGTATTATTTGTAGTATGGTCTTTCCTCTGTGATGAGTTTATATGTTTTTGCGAGTGCTTGATGAATAATTATTATTATTATCATAACTATTGGACATGTAGCCTGGATTTGTTAGGGAAGGCTACTTCTATTATCGGCTTTGCTGGATTATAATTGACAGACTTGAGCACAATTTGGTTATTGTAGTAGTTAAGGGCTCTTTCGCTAATTGGAATGTCGAGTATAGGTTCTTTCTGAGCAGTGTTTCTAGTTTCCGGGTCGGCTTGTGTGGGTTCTTAATTATCAAGGATTTCACTGATGGCCATTTGTACATTCGCATGCGAAGCAGGTTTCTCTAGAATTTCGTCTATATGTCGAGGATCGATTCTGCATTGTTGTATAAAGATGCGTAATCTTTGTCTTGTGGTATGGTTGGGCTATTTCTTTGGTATGGATTTCGACTCGGAACAAAGCATCTGGTGTTTGATTTTCCTCTCTCATATAGATTATCTCATAATCAAACTCTTCCAGCTTTAAGCGCCATCTACTTATTTTGGAACTATTGTCTTTCATGGAAAAAATCCATTGGAGATGAGAGTGATCTGAAAGTATCTTGAGCTTCCTCCCAAACAAGTAGGGTCTTAAGTACTTGGTGGCCCAGATTATGGCTAAAATTTCCTTTTTAATGGTGAAATATTTTAACTCGGTTTCGTTGAGTATCCTGGAGGCGTATGCAATGGGCATGCTGAAGTCTAGATATTGCAGCAAAGGTTGATTTACCAGTTAATTTTTTCAAGTTCTAATGCAATTGAAAAATTCTGGTGTCAGATCCATCCTTTTTGAGGCAAGAAGTTAGAGGTTTAGTAATTTTAGTGATCCAAGGAAGTCTATAGAAATCTTCGGATTTCTTTTGTAGTTCGCGGTATTGAATAGTCAAGTATGGCTTTAATTTCAGTCGGATTTGATTTCATTCCTTCTGGTGTAAAAATATATCCAAGAAAGGCAACTTTCTTTTTTAGGAACTCGCATTTGTCCATTTGAATTTTGAATCCAATTTCTCTGAGACGTTGAAAGATGAACCAGATGCTCTTGAAATGATGTGCTGAACACAATGATATCGTCCAATAAAGCAATTTTCTCCTTTGAGGCTTTTCAAAACGTTATCCATTACCCTCTGGAACGTAGCTGGAGCGTTTTTAGGTCTGACGGCATCCGGAAATACTAGTAATGGCCATTTTCGACATTGAAAACATTTTGCATATATCTTCCTTAGCCATTCCAATCAGATCCAAAGTCCTGAAGTACTAGCATCTACCAAATTTGTCCAAGATGTCTGTTATGTTTGGAATTGGGTATTTATCGTCGATAGTTTTCTCGTTTACTTTCCTATAGTCCACTACTTTCTGCGATTTTATTTTTCCGAAGGCGTCTGGTTTTTTTGGAACTATCCATATCGAGGAAGACCAAGGTGACTGGCTTGTTCTTATAACTCCTTGATCCAACATGGAAAATATCTGGTTTTTCACTTCCTCTTGATGAATATGTGGATATCTATGACTTGGTGTACACTGGAATCTCATCTTTTGTTTAAATATGGTGTTTGATCTGGTTTGTAAAGGTCAGAGACATGTCTGGATAATTGTACTGAATACTTTTCAGGAATTCATTCTCATTATAGAAGATTCAAGTGATAAGTTTGAGAAAATTTCGGTTGAAGCTTTGAAGCTCAATACTTCAAGACTTGTTGCGGCTATAAAAACTTATATATTATGGTTTGGTTTATACAGAATTTATTGTTCTTTCAAAACAGCGTATGTTCATTTGAATAAAATATGAAATTTATAAACTTATCACTATCAGCATTTTAGAATATTTCCTTTCCAAAGCCAAAAACGAGGTTTTCACTCGTTACAACGTGTTAGCAAAGGGTTCTACTATATTTACAACAATCTCTTTTAGTTGTTGCTTTATTGGTTCTATTAGCAGGATGGTTCTATGTATTTTTAATTTGAAAAGAAAAAAAAAACAGTAATTTTTCCCAAGTTTAATCATCAAGTAATCAATTACAATTTTGCAGGCAACCCACTCTCGAATGCATCATCATTGCACATTGGCTTTTGACATGCGTTACATTGTTTCAATTCAACATTGGGTTCAGATTTGCGTTCGACATCGCAATCGCCACTGAAGCAGTTACGGAAGTAAATTGTTTCATCTAAAATTAAAATTATTTAGCAAATTATAAAAAATCTCATATAACTACATATACTAACTGCTTGAGTTGACTCCAACAAAGGCAATACAGTATGGATATCCGTCAGGACAAGTGGTAGGATCCGCTTTAGTAATGTCGCAATCTGAAGCCTTCTTGGATCGGCATACGTAGCATGATAATGCTGCGGAAGTGGCTGAAAAATTGATTTTTTTTTCAAATTGGTATAAGTGTAATATACATTCGAATAAATAAAGTGTAGCAAATGCTTTTACTCTACCTCTGTCTCTTTTTGCTGCAATAAAGCTGAATATGTTACTCTCAAAAAACTTGAGCAAAAGCATATGCTCGTATTTTATGCATATGGCCAAGTATATTACATACCGAATAGGGAAGTGTTTCATTACTGTCGAGAGATTGACTATTAATCTCGAGACAGAAATGAAAACTTTCCTCCGAAGTTTGTATACTATTTTATTTGCAAGCACATTATTAATTAAAAATAAGTTGATCCATTAAAATTTAAAAAAAATAAAAAAAAAAAACATGTCAAAATCTGTCATTTACTGTTTTGTCGTTTTTACCTGACATGTTCTCATTGTTACCAGCAAAGGTGAATAAATTAGAGTGAGGGAAATTGAAGAGTTAGTAATGTGTAAACATATATGTAAGATTACATATGTATATATATGTTTGCAAATAATAGTATATTTCATGCGGAGGTGGAAAGTGTTTCATTATTGTCGAGAGATACTATGGTTGACCGAGGTGCGAAGCGCCGAGGTCAACCAATTCTCGAAACAATAATGTAAAAACTTTCCACCGAATTAGGTATACTATTCTATTTTGAACCATTGATTATTGAAAAAAAATAAGGTTAAAATATGACAAAAATGGAATTTCGACTGCCAGTCTGGCACCGACATTGACATCTTACGAAAACATTGCACCTGGATTCGTGTTTGAGTGTGAAACAAAAATTTAGCAGGCCAAAAGTGAGTTCTCCAGGCCGAAAGTAACAGGAGAACTGTCACTTTCGGCCTGATTTAAAGTAAATAAAAGTAAAGTGACATATTCGAACCTACAAACCAGTAGGACATGTGAAAATTACATATATGGTTTAAAATAAACAATATTTTCTTACCTTTAATGTTCAAGCACACAAATGCCACTAAGGCTAAAATGACTAATTTGCGCATTGTTGAAAAGAGACACTGCCAATGATGAATTTGAATTGGCAGGGCCCATTTTTATACTTATAGCAATTAGTTAGATTATTGATAATTTTTATTTTTTTTTAACTAACAAGCTTGAGGTGTAGATAGTGAAATTGTAGGGCTGAGCATTCAAAGCAACTTGTTGCAGATAAGTAATCATATTTTTTAATTTTTAGGATATTTTTGTGTTTCCTGAAAATACTGGTTAACCACAACCCATGCAGCAAGGTTTGGTCGATATAACGTTGAATGTACGATACTTCCCAACGTTGCATTACGTTGTAACAACAGTTGAATGTACGTTGACAGGACGGCACAATGTCATAATTGAGACAACGTTGAATGTGACCGTTGAATTAACGTCGTTTTTTTTGTTGGCCTCAATCTTATAACAACGTTGATCAGATGTATTCGAGACGTCAGATTTCACGTTGAACTCAACCGTTATCACAACCTTGACCAGATGTAATTAAGACGTCAGATTTTACGTTGAGCCTGAGGTTGAGCTCAACCTTTATTTACAACTTGAAATAGAAAAAATAGTACAAAAAACATGCTTCATAAGACATTTTATATCAAATTGCGTCTTATGAAACTTGTTCTATAGCTGGCTTTGTCAGAACAGTTTTCAATTAAAATAAAATCACCAAAATGTTTGAGGTTATAGGTACTTTATTCCACAAATTTTTTAAATAAACACAAACCACAAACTCTTTGCCACAAAATTTAATATATCAAAACAGTAAGAGCAAACAAATTTGATCAAAATAAAACATTATTTGGAGGATTGTTAAAATTCAACTGGCTTGCTCTTAAATAGGAATTGAAAAGTATGAAAAGGTTTCTATAATTTTGAGAAATTATTTCCGCCTACCACCATTTTCCACCAATCGAAGTTAAATCCAGGCTAGACACATCAATAAACACACAATGACAAAAATAATAACACCTTTTACACATTCAATAATTTTAAATTTACACAAAATAATAAAATCAACAAAAACCTGAGTGAATACGAAAAATGACGCGATGAACGTGATGACGCCAGCGGCCAGACGCCAATGCAATGATGGGCTGGGCCACGCCACAGGGCTCAGAGGGCGCTGTCGGCAAATGGCGGGACACGATGCACCTTAGCGGGAAGTTTGAATGAATTTGCATGGAGATACCACTTTATCTACTTTTAGGGAACTTATATAATATTATTTCACGTCGAATGTTGGAGCTTTAAACATTAAACCTGCATTCATAAAGATTTATAAAGGTCTGTTTCTGCAGAAATCACAAACCAGTCAGAGCGAATTTCATTGGTTGAAAACAGTCAGAAACAGTCAGAAAACTAGTTTCAACCAATGAAATACACTCTGACTGGTTTGCGATTTCTGCAGAAACAGACCTAATAATAAATATCTGGTTTTTTATTGATATTTTAAATTTTACTAATAACGTACATATATTTATTTCAAAAAACATTTTGAATCTCCATTCAACGTTTATTTAACATCTAGTGATGGGCTAAATCAAACAGAGAAAAACCAGTGATATAACTATTCAAAGTTGCTATACCTAGTCTAGATTTGATAGATACTTTGGTACCGATGGGTTCGAATTATTTTTTTCAAACTATATTCAACGTTGAATAGACTTTGCTTAGAAAACGTTGACGAATACGTTGTTTTCATAATGCCCATTCAACGTTGATTTTTGGTATATCAACGCCTACGACATCAATCAATCTTTAATTAACGTTGATTCAACTACCCTTTGCTGCTTGGGAAGTCCTTTGGTTCTTCGCGTAAAAAAAAAAATGTCTATTAAAATTATCTTTCAAATTCTTTAATTTCTTGGCTTAGAAATAGTCCAAGGAAGCCAAGTTTTTGACATTAAACATTTTTACAAAGGATGGCTTTGTGTGTCACCATTATTGAATAATGAACAAAATAGCCAGCTATTTTCATTATAGTCAAAAGAGCTTTCTGAGGCTCTTTATATGTATTTTATTTATTTTTCTAATGATTTTTTGGTAGACACTTATTTTGATTCACTACTTCAGCATTTTCAGGTGGCTCAGTCTCTAATCAAGCTTTATTCCAAATTTTCTACTCTGTTGAATTCATTTTCAACATATTTATGTATGATAGCAATAGGGTAGTCCAGTTTGGATAGTTTCAATAAGAAACGTTAATTTTTCTTCTCTCTATTTCTCAAATTTTCCATCTCAATTTTTATTTATTCCCGGCTCTTGAATTAGTTTATCGAAATAATGAAAATCCAAAAGCTTGGAATAGAAACAGAATACTTATTTTGTGTTTTGCTCGATTCTTCTTGAATTTATTTTTTCTATTTCTCAATTTTTCCAGCTCAATTTTCGTCTACTTACTCCCCGGTTCTTGTATTTATCGAAATTATTTCTCAATTTGTCTTGAAGTTCTTCTCTCTGCTTCTTAATTTTTCCGTTTCAACTTTTGTTTATTCCCGGCTCTTGAATTTTCATTTTCTTCTAAATTTTTCTAAATAGTGAGCTTGGAAGAAGCAAAATACCTACTTTGTGTTTATTTGTCTACCAATTTTTTCTCAATTTCTTTTCTCTATTTTTCACGTTTTCTAGCTCAATTTTTATCTATTCTTCTCACTTGAATTTGTCGAAATAAATAAAATTCCTGTGAGCCTGAGATAGAAAAAACATGAAATTCCACTTATATTTACCAATTTTCCTTACATTTCTTGAAGAGGTCAGGTTTTGTACCCTACCAAATTGCGATTTTAGGAGAAATCATGGATGGCTTCCCATGATTTCCCTGATTTATTCTGATTACCAGTGAGATTGCCCACGAGTTTCCCTGATAACATAATCTCACATTATAAAGATTTTTGAAAACTGCACATGAGTTCCATCTAGAAATTGAATAATTTCTTCAAGATTTCCCGTGATTTTCTTAAGATGCCTCCTGGATTCCCTTAAATTTCCTCAAATGACCTCTTGATTTCTCTTAATTTGTACACCAGATAACAGTTTTAGAAGAAATTATGATTCCATGAGGGAAATCATGGGTGAATTTCCATGATTCCCCGTGATTTTTTTTGATTAATAGGACGTCTATTCTTGAATTCGGGGAACAGTGTTCTCATGAGATTGATTGCTCTATGTTTCTCGGTGCTATGCAAATACAAATAGAACAGATAAAGACAGGATATATTTTCTCATTTGGTCGCTGCTCCTCAGTTTTGAAAATAAGACTCCAGAGCTGGAACTCTATAACGGATAGAGATCGTTACTCTATCGCTATGGCACTTGCTGTCTTCTCCTCTCTTTTCGAAATCAATGGAAAGCGGACGTGAATAGAGATAGAGTATTAGAGTAAATATCTCCATTCGTGTTCCAGCTTAGAGTCCTTATTCTTGAAACAGGGTGGCATCAGCGTCCCCAGGGAAACGAGTGTTCCGTCTTTGTTACTTTTATTATCATTTGCATATCATTGAGAAAGATGGAACACTAGATCTTTTGGGAACGCTGCTTCCCTGTTTCAAGAATAAGGACCCAGTAAGATCGCCTAAGAGTTCCGCTGATAACATAACCTCAAGTTATAAAGATTATTGAAAACTGCGCATGCGTTCTATCTAGAAATTGATTGATTTTTTGAAGATTTTCCATGATTTTCCTAAGATTTCTCCAGAGTTTCTTTGATTCCCTCTGATTTTCTTAAGATTTTCCCTGGATTGCCTTAAATTTCCTCAAATGACCTCTCGATTTCTCTTAATTTGTACACCAGATAACAGTTTTAGAAGAAGTCATGAGTAATTTCCCATGATTCCATGAGGGAAATCATGGGTGAATTTCCATGATTCCCAGTGATTTTTTTGATTACCAGGACGTCTATTCTTGAATCCGGGGAACAGTATTCTCATGAGATCGACTGCTCTATGTTTCTCGGTGATGCAAATACAAATAGAATTAACAAAGACAGGATATATTTTCTCATTTGGACGCTGCTCTCCAGTTTCGAAAATAAAACTCCAGAGCTGGGACTCTGTAACAGATAGAGATCATTACTCTATCGCTATGGCACTAGTTATCTTCTCCTCTCTTTTCGAAATCAATGGAAAGCGGACGTAAATAGAGATAGAGTATAAGAGTAAATATCTCTATTCGTTTTCCAGCTTAGAGTCCTAATTCTTGAAACAGGGGAGCATCAGCGTCCTCAGGAAAACGAGTTTTTCGTCTTTGTTAATTTTATTATCATTTGCATATCATTGAGAAAGATGGAACACTAGATATTTTGGGAACTGTTTTAAGAATAAGGACCCAGTAAGATCACCTGAGAGTTCCGCTGATAACATAACCTCAAGTTATAAAGATTATTGAAAACTGCGCATGCGTTCTATCTAGAAATTGATTGATTTTTTGAAGATTTTCCATGATTTTCCTAAGATTTTCTTTGATTTCCTCTGGTTTTCTCAAGATTTACCCTTGATTGCTTTAAATTTCCTCAAATGACCTCTTGATTTCTCCTAATTTGTACACAAGATGGCAGTTTTAGAGGAAATCATGACATGATTTCCCATGATTTCTCCTGATTTCTTTTGATTACCAAGACGTCTATTCTTGAAACTGGGGAACATTGTTCTCATGAGATACATTGCTCTATCTTTGTATGTTTTGCAAATACAAATATAGAACAGACAAAGACAGGTCATCTTTTCGCATTGAACGCTGCTCCCCGGATCCGAGAATAAAACTCTAGGGATCGTATTTTCGAATTCATTCGAGAGCATTTCGTACACGAAATCTGATTGACAGCAATGTAAATTAAATGGGGAGCATTCGAAATCGTATTAAATTTCGTATGCGAGAATATTCGAAAATACGACCCCTGGGCTGGGATTCTGTAATGGATAGAGGTGATAATCCTTATCGGTATAGCTGTTTTCTTCTCTCTTTTCGAAATCAATAGAGAGGGAATGTCAATAAGGATAGGGAAAATAGCATTATTCGTTACAAAGTCCAAGTTCAGGGTCCTTATTCTCGAAATAGGGAAGCAGTGTTTCAAGGAGAACGAATGTTCCGTCTTTGTTACTTATATTATCATTTGCATATCATTCAGAAAGACGGAACACTATATAGGTCTGCTAGGAACGCTGCTCCCCTGTTTCAAGAATAAGGACCCTGTAAGATTGTCCGACAGTTTTCGTGATAACATAACTTCAAATTATAAAGATTTTTGGCAACTACGCATGCGTAAATCTATGGATTGACTGATTTCTTCAAGATTCCCCGTGATTGCCTTCGATTTCCTTGAATTTCCTTTTGATTTCCCTGATTTGTACACGAGCTTGCGGTTTTAAGGGAAATCATGAGTGATTTCTCATGATTTCTCCTGATTTTTTTGATTACCAGGACGTTTATTCTTGAATCCGGAAAATAGTGTTCTCATGAAATCGATTGCTCTATCTTTGTCGATGCTATGCAAATAAAATACAAATAGAACAGAGAAAGAGGCGATATATTTTTTCATTTGAACGATGCTTCTCGGATCCGAGAATAAGACTCCAGAGTTGGGATTCTGTAACGGATAGAGGTGATTATCCATATCGCTATAGCACTTGCTGTTTTCTTCTCTCTTTTCGAAATCAATAGAGAGGAAACGTCGATAAGGATAGGGATAATAACATTATTTGTTACAGAGTTCAAGTTCAGAGTCCTTATTCTCGAAATAGGGGAGCAGCCTTCCCAGGAGAACGAGTGTTCCGTCTCTGTTACTTATGTTATCATTTGCATATCATTGAGAAAGACGGAACACTAGGTCTCCTGAGAATGCTGCTCTCCTGTTTCAAGAATAAGGACCCTGTAAAATTGTCCTAGAGTTCCCGTGATAACATAACTTCAAATTATAAAGATTTTTGGAAACTGCGCATGTGTGAGATCTAGAGATTGACTGATATCTTTAAGATTTTCCGTGATTGCCTTCGATTTGCTCGAATTTCCTTTTGATTTCCCTGATTTGTACTCCAGATTGCGGTTTCCAGAGGAAATCATGGGTGATTTTCCCATGATCTCCTTTGATTTTTTTTGATTACCAAGACGTCCATTCTTAAATCCAGGAAACACAGTTCTCATGAGATCGATTGCTCTATCGTTGTCGGTGTTATACAAATACAAATAGAACAGACAAAGACCGGATATATTTTCTCATTTGACCGCTGCTCCCCGGTTTCGAGAATAAGACTTCAGAGCTGGGACTCTGTAATGGATAGAGATCGTTATCCCTATCCCTCTTGCTGTCTTCTTCTCTCTTTTCGAAATCAATAGAGAGGGAACGTCAATAGAGATAGGGTATAAGAGTAAATATCTCTATTCGTTACAGAGTCCCAGCTCAGGGCCCTTATTCTTGAAACAGGAGTGCAGCGTTCCTGGAAGAACGAGTATTCCGTCTTTGTTACTTATATTATGATTTGTATATCATTGAGAGAGATGGAACCCTTGGTATCCTGCTGGGAACGTTGCAAGGACCCAGTAAGATTGCCTAAGAGTTCCTCTGATAACATAACCTCAATTTATAAACATTTTTGAAAACTGCGCATACAGAGAAATTGTCTGATTTCCTTAAGATTTCTTCTGAACTCCTCAGCATTTTCCTTAATTCTTCTGATTTTCTTACGATTTCTACTGATTGCCATATATTTCCTCGGGTTTCCTTTTGATTTTCCATAATTTGTACACCAGATTACCGCTCGATTCGTTTGTCTCAACTTTTATCTATTCCCGGCTCTTGAATTTCCGTTTTCCTCTATACATTTTTCTAAATAGAGAAAATTCAAGATTTTGAAATAGAAACAAAATACTTAGGTACTTCGAGCCTATCAATTTTCTCTCAATTTTTCTCGAATTCCTTTTTTCTATTTCTCAATTTTTCCAGCTCAATTTTTTTTAATTCCTGGCTCTTGAATTTTTCCAAGTAAAGAAAATTCAAGAACCTGGAATAGAAAAAATATGATCGTCTTGAGCATTTGAGACATTTATAAGTATTTGCGTTTAACTTAATTTTACAGCTTGCACCAATTAAGATTTCATGAAATTTGAACCTCTCAGTGAGATTAAATCCGTCCAAATTAGACCACACTGTACATTTTGAAATTCTCTGTAAGTAAGTATTTGGCTAAAAATTTATCTACTTTTTCAGTCTCTGTATGGTTTTTATCAATGATAAAATGATTATTTATTATAGATATTGTAACATTTCCACTAACACATAATTTGGGCCCAATGACCTGTTGCTGTTGCGACTTCTTTCCTCTGAAGTTTCAACTCAATATGAACTTTCATTGTGACAAAACAACTTTAAAAAGATTCTTCTATGCCGAAAAGAATCACATTTCATGCACAATTAACAATTTGCAAAGTAACAAAACCTAATGCCTAGTCACTTGATCTTGTTCCATTGTAGCCATACATATTTCATTTAATCTGGTTTCAATGGCCAAAAGAATCAAGAGAATTTTTTGTAAGATTGTTATCTGTGATACCTATAGTATTTAGTTTTCTGTGAATTTTAAAATCAAAATGTATGTGTTTTTTTTTTCAGGATCAGGAAATAAGAGATTAAGTTAGATATTATTTGGGTATTTCAATGAAATGTATTTGCCAATTCACCAGTAGTTGCCTGCTTAAGAATTTTTAGGAAAATCATCATCGTTACAATTTGATTGTCTACAAGTTCTGCAATACAAAACTTTGGTATTTGGACCTGGATTTGCATTTAGTTCTTGGCATCCTCCTTTCCAGCATCCACGTTTGTAACTCTTCATACCTAAAAAAAAAACACTTGTTGTTTTCCTATGTAATTCTTCATAATGTGTTACTATAGAAGAATTTTTTTCTACTCAGATACTTACCGTTGGACAATAATACTGAAGTCAAACATTGATTCTGGCCATTTTTCGTATCGCATACGGCAGATGGAATCAAAGGAAAAGTACAATCTTCCAATGTGTTGCAATCGAAACAATTAATCGCTGATATACCTTTAAATTGAATTTTCCTTTTAACAAAATATAATTTGGATCGTTATAGGAATACCTACTTTGTATATTAATACAGAAACATGCCACAAAAGTTAGTCCAAGTAACTTGGACATTGTTGTCTAAGGCTGCAACAACTGACACTATTATTTAGCATTAGTGCTTTTTAAAATACCTACTGATACCTACTAGATAAAAACCTTTTAAAAATATAATATTTATGGATTAGTTAACGAAAAATGCACTTTAAAATGTGTATAGATAAATAGTTAGATGACCTTTGGGTGTAGTTTATTTCATTTTTTTCAAACGTTAAAATAACCGTTATTTTCACAAGGTGTAAACCCGGGTTATTGTGTGCGAATTTCTATGATTAAAATTGGTAACCTTAAATTGGGGCGCACTACTACTGCGATGCTTGTCACCACTAAGGTAAACCGAACAAACCGGGGGACCGACCCCTGGTGGATTTAACAACCCCCTGGCATGGGCTTAAGAAGGAAACGTTACCCCTTTTTTAGATCACAATAAATGCAGGGACGGATTTCTACGGATAAAATCAATATGATTGCTACTTTGACTATCTCAATCTATATATGCAAGTTATTTAGTTTTTAAATCTGGAATATATGGAGGTATTTCAAAAATAATTGTGCTGCTGAAATCGAATTTGAGTTTGAGGAAAACTTAAGTACAATAGTTTACGATAGAATATTTGAAGAAGGAAAAGATCATGAAAATATAGCGTCGAGTCTTTTAAGTTTAGAAAACGTGGAAAACAGAAGCAAATTCTAATATAAAATAAGGATGAAAGAAGAAAAGAAAGCAATAAATAAGTTAGAAAGAGATAATGAAGATTGAATCGGAATTTCTACAGAGATACATATTTCAATCATCTAAAAATTTTAAATAGAAACTTTGGAAGAGCAAGAAGATTCACAAGTGAATGGAGAAAGATGTGAAAGCTTTCAATAAACTCAATTTCTCACATTCAACATTAAGACTTTACATGAATTGCTAAACATGCATATGATAAAAAATAATAATCTCCTTATGGTTTGATAAGAAACTGAATCTGTATGCCCCATGATTTATAATCCTACTTCAATTATTGAAAAATCCAGAGTCAACGTCGCCTTGCAGTCTATAGTGAAAAACCGAGAATCTCAATTCATTCTTCTCCATAGGATAGGAACATCTTAATCACCTAGAAACTGTCAAGCAGCACATAAATATTCCACACTCGGCTTGATCTTCATTCATCCTCCGAGATGTTACACACGTAAAAAGGCGGCAACGCCTTTCAGTCCCCGAATCGCCAAACAAAAATTTCACGTCTTTATTTCGAAAAAGTCTAGTTCCCACCTGAATTGTTGATGTGTCACTTTCGAAATAAATATTTTGGGGGATTCTCCGATAATAAATCTCATTACAACGCAATGCGGTTCTCTTGGCTTCTTGGCCTTTTCGCATTCATAAACAATTCTATGGTTGCACAAAAGTTCTTTCGAAAAAAAATTTAATGTTTCCTGTCAATTTTGATTTAGATAATATATTAATCTGATTCTTTGAAAATGGGGGCGTTATCATCATAGATTTTCAAGTCAAGAAAAATAACCCCTATAGTAAAAGGCCTCTATATAAAGTAGGCCATATCAACGTCAAAAATATTTTTGTTATTTACGATATTAAAACAGACCCAAAAAGAAAGTTGCTTTTCTCTGAAGCAAAAAAAATTTACAACTTTCAAAAAGCATTATCAGTTTTCACGGAAGCCACGAGGATGGGCTGACTTATCATTGTTCCTGCTTTATGACCATCATCAGACTGTAAAATCGGTTTACTATTCGGGAACTAGGGCATGGCTAAAATGTTTTCAAATATTGCTCCATGGGAGATTTTTTTGTCTTTTTTTCAAATATTTTGTCAACATGTTTCTAGTGACACTCAATTATTGACGATAAGCGTGCAAACAATTTATACACAAAAGAAATTTGTTTTCTTGGAATGTCCATAGAGGTCAATTTCTATTCTACTCGACATATTGATGAGATTCGCAATTTACGTTTGGACAAGGGAATTGATGGCAAACATGTTAATGACACACAATCTGCGATTTCTAGAAATTTCCTAAATCTAGGGAAAAATACTTTGTTGCACACAAAACCCATGCTAATACGACGAAATTTCCCTAAAGTCTAGGAAAACTTTACGAAACATTATTTTTCTAAGCCAAATTTGAAAGGTTCAGCCAATGATTGATGCTTATAGATGTAGCTAATAATCTCTCGTAGTTCTTATTTGCAATATTCGATTCTTTATCAAGCACATGTGTGTGTTGTGTGTATTTGACATCGACACCCCTATTCGATCGCCCCCGGGTCCAGCATCCAGCAACACAAAAGATTCAGCCAGCCGTGAAATTCGATGAAATGTGACGGCCTGGCACACATGCGACCGCGTCTCTCGTGTGACGGCCAATCAGCCCTGATTTATTTTTTTTCTATTCGATAATTTTTGAAATGTTTAATTGATCAAAGTAACAATGAGATGAGATAATTATTCCTTCACAAAACACTTTTTAATCAAGTTGAAGAGTCCTACATGCTTCGAGGAGTGAACCTCATCAAAATCTGTGCAAAATTGAGTTTGATAGCTCAGAAAGTTTTTGAGTAATTGAGCTTCTAAGTCTAAATTTTGTCAAAAACTTCAAACTCAATTTTCTCAAAAACTATAAATCTAGGAATATTGTAAATTACAGATCTTTCAGAGTTTAATAAGAGCTACAAATGCTGAAAATTTCAATGCAATTTGCTCAATAGTTACCGAGCAATTGAGGTTTGAATATTTTGAAATCAGAATTCAAAGGGGATGATACCCTCATGAAAAACTCGATTTTTTTGTTTTCCAGTTTTGCTCAATTTTGACTTCACCAATCGATAGAGTGGTTCAGAATTAGTGAAAAACAACCTTGACATCATTTCCAAATGGTCATTTCAGGCAAAAACAAAAATAAAAAGGAAATCATATTTTTGGCACTGAAAAATTTTCAAAATCTTGACATTATCATGAGCAATTGCCCATATCTTTTTTAAATTTTAGGCAAATTGGAATAAATCATACACGATTGGAAAGAGCATTAAATTCTTCATAAATCCGTGCAAAATTCAGTATAGTAGCTCAAATAGTTTTTGAGCAATTGAACCTCAAACTTGACTTTTGGTCCGAGTTTTGTCAAAAACTTCAAACACAATTTTCTCAAAAACTTTAAATCTGGGAATATCATGAATTACAGGTCTTCTAGAGCTTGATAAGAGCTACAAATGCTGAAAATTGCAATGCAATTTGCTCAACGGTTACCGAGCAATTGAGGTTTGTATATTTTGAAATCAGAATTCAAAGAGAGATACCCTTATGAAAAACTCGACTTCTTTGTTTTTCAGTTTTGCTCAATTTTGACTTCACCGATCGATAGAGTGGGTCAAAATTAGTGAAAAACAATCTTGGCATCATTTCCAAATGGTCATTTCAAACAAAAACGAAAATAAAAAGGAAATCTTATTTTTGGTAGGTAGGTACTGAAAAATTTTCAAAATCTTGACATGATCATGAGCAATTGACAATATCTTTGTTAAATTTCAAGCAAATTGAAATAAACTATACACAATTGGAAAGAGCATTAAATTCTTCACAAATCCGTGCAAAATTCAGTACAATAGCTCGAAAAGTTTTTGAGCAATTGAATCTCAAAGTTGACTTTTGGTCCGAATTTTGTCAAAAACTTCAAACTCAATTTTTTCAGAAACTATAGGTCTGGGAATATTGTAAATTACAGGTTTTCTAGAGCTTGATAAGAGCTACGAATGCTGAAAATTTCAATGCAATTTGCTCAACGGTTACCGAGCAATTGAGATTTGAATATTTTGAAATCAGAATTCAAAGGGGGTACCCTTGTGAAAAACTCGATTTTTTGATTTTTCAGTTTTGCCCAATTTTGACTTCACCAATCGATAGAGCGGGTCAAAATTAGTGGAAAACTACCCTGACTTCATTTTTAAATGGCCATTTTAAATAAAAACAAAAAGTAAATCTTATTTTTGACTCTGGAAAATTTTCAAAATCTTGACATGTCTTGAGCAATTGCCCATATCTTTGTTAAATATTGAGCAAATTGAAATAAATTATATATCATTAGGAAGAGCAATAAATTTTCTATAAATCCGTGAAAAATTGAGTTTGAAAGCTCCGAAAGTTTTTGAGTAATTGACCCTCAAATTTGACTTTTAGTCTAAATTATGTCAAAAACTTCAAACTCAATTTTTTCAAAAACTATAAACCTGAAAATATTGCAAATTACAGGTCTTTTAGAGCTTGATAAGAGCTACGAATGCTGAAAATTTCAAAGCAATTTGCTCAACGGTTACTGAGCAATTGAGGTTTGAATATTTTGAAATCAGAATTCAAAGAGCTTTGAAAAATTTTCAAAATCTTGACATGTCTTGAGCAATTACCCATATCTTTGTTAAATGTTGAGCAAATTGAAATAAATTATGTATCATTGGAAAGAGTGATGAATTTTCTATAAATCCGTGCAAAATTGGGTTCAATAGCATTCAAAGTTTTTGAGTAATTGACCCTCAAAATTGATTTTTGGTCAAAATATTGTCAAAAACTTCAAACTCAATTTGCTCAAAAACTATAAACCGAGAAACATTGTAAATTACAGGGTTTTTAGAGCTTAATAGGAGCTTAGGAGCTACAAATGCAGAAAATTTCAATGCAATTTGCTCAACGGTTACCGAGCAATTGAGGTTTGAGTTTTTTGAAATCAGAATTCAAAGTACCCTTATGAAAAACTCGATTTTTTTATTTTTCAGTTTTACTCAATTTTGACTTTACCAATCGATAGAGTGGGTCAATATTAGTGAAAAACAACCCACAAAATACCTGACATAATCAAGTAAAAATCCAAAGTAGTAGTTAGAATAGATATTGGTAGTACAAGTAGTACAAGTACATAACAAAAAAAGTAATTTAAATAAAATACTTAAAGTACTTATATGTACCTACTGGGAGTAGAATTTCAAGTAATTTACTTTAAATATTGACAGCTTTGCATAGGACAAAGGTCCCTGATGATGAGGTTTTCTATCCTCGAAACATATTATAGGGC